AAACAAGGAAAGTGAGATTGAGTAAAGTTAACAAACTTGCTCAAACTTGCTCAAAAAAGAGATCCGTATAGCTCTCAAGTTCTGATTCCAAAGCCTATGCTTTAACTATTATTACCATGGTGCTTCCAAATTCTTTGCAAAACAATGTCATACTTGCATTCGTTGTACTTTCACCTTTTACCAGCATCTAGAAAATATATCCTCGTTTCATTCTTGACTCTTTCCATGTTATCCTTCCTTTCTACCATCTCCCTTAACTTCTGTATCCTAATACAGAAAATTCTGCATAGTCTTTTCTAATATTCTTATTTTGTTAGTATTCTAAATCCCACGGTATTTCTCCATTCAGTTTCTTTCATGTGTGTTCTCAAATTCTTCTCACTGTTTCTATCACAATTTTCAGTTCCTTCTATTTTTTGCTTTGCTGTCTATGGAAGTTCTCAGGATAAGGAAGAGTTCACAATCATCATCTGTTCACCAATTTCCATTAAACAGAGATTCATCATTTACATTTTTTTTTTCAAACTACTTTTCAAGTTATCAAACTTCCACCTCTGTGTTTGAGCTAATTCTATTTTTCTGGGCTGTGAATTTTTATCTTTTACTTATAAACTTGGTCACATGACTCTCAGAAGCAAAATATTTAATGAATTAATGGCCAAAAAATTTCTAGATTTTATTAAAATCTATAAATTCACAGACGCAAGAAGCTCAAAAAATCCTGAGCTCAAAACAAAAGAACGAAAAGTACACATTATAGTCTAATTGCTCAAAACAAGTGGTAAGAGAAAATCTGAAAAGCAGCCAGAGAAAAAAGACATTTCAAACAGAGGGACGTAATGTACATAATTTTGCCTATAAAAGGGTATTTTTCAATTTTTCTCCTTTTATTACGTTAGTTTAAAATAACTTCAGTTAAAAGTGACCCCATCCAAACATCTATACTTCTAGTGGTACAGCTCTATAATCTGATACGTTGTGACCATGACCAGGCATGTGTCACCAATGCTCAACAACAGCCAAACAAAGTCTTAGATCATTGATACAATAATAACATAGAAAAGAGAAAGGGCTGAAATATATTTTTTTAAAATTTTTTCCCCAGGAATTCTTATTCTTAACAAACATCCATGATTAGCTATGGCCTCACTAAAATTTTTATGATGCTCAACAACAGCCAAACAAAGTCTTAGATCATTGATACAATAATAACATAGAAAAGAGAAAGGGCTGAAATATATTTTTTTTAAATTTTTTTCCCAGGAATTCTTATTCTTAACAAACATCCATGATTAGCTATGGCCTCACTAAAATTTTTATATACTAAAAAAGGCCTTACAACTAGTCTTTTTCCAGAACCGAGTTTTTGCTGTTCACTCTCCTGCCTTTTATCTGCATCTGTGGCAAAAGCAAGTACTTGATACCTGTGTGAAAGATATAAAAGAAATTGTAAGTAACTTTATAATTAAAAAGTATAAGTTATTTTAAATGTTAAAAGCACATAATCTATAAACGTTATGAACCACTTTTTCCTGGGTCTTAAAAACTGTAAAATTTATGATTGAATTCTTGTTGCATGATACTGTGACATGAGACCATGTAAAATGGTCATGATAAAGAAATTGTAACCATATGTCCCAATTATTCACTATTGGGAAAATAATTCTACCAAGTATCAAACAGAACTGAATTTTGGCAAATTAATCATCTGGTGCCTTAGCTTCCTTGTCTAAAAATGGGAATAATAATCTGTAACTCAAACATTGTTAAAAGTATTAAAAAATAAATTATAAAAAGTTCCTAGTACAGTATCTGGTATATATTAGGTGACAAAGTATTGATAGAAGGATTGACAAAGAGACAGATACAGATTTATATATAGATAGAGATCACTCACCTAATAGTTTATCTGTTATGTAATAAATTCTCAGTAATGAACATTATGGACATTGTGACCTTCTATAAGTATTTTACAGCTTCTATTTCAACAGTAACATTCAGCTCAAATCAATCTTAAAAACAATATAAATATCACTCAATCTAGAAATGATTAATTTAGCCAATAAAGTTGAAATTCCTGTTGGTTAGAGCACAGCCTTGTAACACCAAGGTCAAGGGTTCAGTTCTCATACCAGCCAGCTGCCAAAAAAAAAGAAGCTGAAATTCCTATATTTCCAATTAATTAATGGTATATTTTTAGAGTAATAATCCGACTCTAAATGAAGACACTGCAGGCTACAAGTTTGACTCCTTTCCCTCCTACTGAATCAAAACTCTTTGTATCATTCCTCCATAGCTAAGAGGAAATTTAAAAAAATAGATATATTCAGATACCTCATATTTTCTATGAGAAAGGTATCTGAGAGTAAAAAAACCGGGGATCAGAATAAATTAAGGCAATGTGGAATACCCAAACAAGCACTGAAATGTACAGTGGTATTCAAATGCCACATACCAGCTCTAAAACCACCCTGTCTCAATCAGGAATAATTCATTTGTAAAAAAACTTCCCATCTGAATTGGATATAGAATGACTACGAATTTAAGACACACTTTGCAAGGCATAGAAGCTGATAAGAAATTTACAATGGGCTATAAAAAAAAAATCAGTCTTATAGTTAATATGAAAACTTAATGTATATGAATTTCATTCACTGCTTAAACACATAGTAGGGATCTAATACAAGCATTAACAATGGAAAAAACTACTACATGATCTATACTCATCAGGAGCTCCCAAACTAGTTGCAGAGATTCATATGCAGACACCTAAGTATAACTCAGAGTGCCCAGTGCTAACAGAAAGTGCGCACACAGTACCAATGGAACACGGTGGCAGAAACAAGTAAGTAACTGGGGTGGAGCAGACATGCTCATAGAGGATCAGGAGGAGAAAGCTAGATTTTAAAGAACGAGTGAAAATTCATCATGATGGTAAAGAGGGAAATGCGTTATGGCAGAGCAAATAGCACATGCAAAGGCATGCAGTGGTAAAAAAAGACATGAAAGGCCATGACAGGAGTTTAGGAGAGATGCGTGCGGGGAGGAATGAGTCATGAGACTCACAAGGTAGGAGGGAGAAGATCTCAGCCTTGTAAAACCATGCTAAAGAATTCCATAGCCAACTGCAGCAAATGTCTCTATACCATCTAAGACTGACCTTCGAAATCCCAAAGTCTCCAAAAGTGCCAAATGATTAGACTTCACATTGCAACCTCCAAATAGTATTGTTTTCCTATTCCCAGTTCACAGTAACAAAAATAGTATGCTCTGGTAACTAGAACATCTGAGAGCTGGTCCTGCTATGGATCTAACCTCAGGCAATTAATTACATAGGTGGTTCATTTCTTGCAGACAACAACCTACCAGAGGATGATAAGGATATTAATGAGAGTGCTGCAAAAATCCAAAGCTCCGTGAGCTGTTTGAAGCTTCTTATATGACTACAAAGAGTTATTATTTCATCTGAGGAATAAGTGAGCTCCTCAAGTGGCCTCATTAACATTAAAACAGCAGGCAGACATACAGCCAAAACTGACTCCTGATTTCCAAACCCAGACAGTTTCTCTTCCTGGAAGACAACTCAGAAGAGTATTTTATTACTTAAATGTAACTGACAATAAATTTAGATGATGACAAATTTATAATAGCATCTATTTTATGGTTCTTCCTCTTAACTGTGACCAATAATGTACATAAAAATCCATTTCCAAAACCAAATAATTCCAAGCAGACTTGGAAATTCTAAAATAAAAAAATAACACTTGGATCTTTTTTTCCCTACCACTCAAGTGTATAGTGATATAAGCTAAAGAATAACATCTCCTTGTTGGGACTGCTGAAAGAATAATCAGGCTCAAAGTAATAAGATTTTATGAAAAAGTGTCATACATGTTTCTCAGAGCAGAAAGGTGCTAATCACAAAGACAGCAAGTCCAGGTGAACGGTGGTGCTTTTTGACCCAGTAGCCATAAATGCTTAACAGGTCCTATGACGCACCAATGACAAACTCAACCATGTAATTTAGTGCTCTTTCATTTCACATCATAAAAACAGCAGCGAGTAACTAAAATATGGATTGAGGTGTCACAGAGCACAAAAGTAAACCCTCTGAAATCAATTTCTTTTCAAATGAAACAGTTGTCACCTCAAAGAAGGTTTTAGAACCTTGATATTTAACCAGGAAAACTAGTAGAAATGGAAGCTCTGGATACAGAGCATTATTACGTTCATTTCAGCTCTAGCTAAAACATTCTTGATTATGCCAGGGAGAATCATTTTCATTGAAAGATGTTAGTAACAAAACAGAAGCTTTCTTTACACACTTTCGACTCCATCGAGTTCTTGTTAAACACTGACTCTCAGCAACGTACAGTGCTGGGCACTTCAGGGGGTACAAAACTCCTGCCATCAAGGAGCATGGAGCCCGTCAGGGAGAAATGCAAACGAGCAAATATTCCGTACCAGTGAAAGCATGTAATAACAAACTTAAGGGAAGCACTGAAAAACTACCCTGTGAATACAGAAGGAGGAGATACTGTTTACATCTGGGTCAAGGAGGAGCTGAAGGGGAGCAAGAGACTTCTAGACATAATTTTCATATGCAGGGAAGGAAGGAAGAACATTTTAGACATAGGAACAGCACGAGCAAAAGAAGAGAGAGAGAGAAGCCCTTAACATGGATGGAAAACAAAAACATTTCAATTTGGCCAGAGCCAAAGACCCGTGATGAACTCAACCTTCTTTTTAAAATAGTCAAATAAATTCAACAAATACATTTTAAAATACTTATGTGAAACCGACTATTTACTAAGCAATGCATTAGGAGCTACTACAGGTGTGCTGGGGAGGTGTACAGCAGACAGGAAGAGAGAAAATAAAACTCGTGGCAGGTGCACTCCTGGAGGGAGCCCCCTCCACTCAACTGTTATCTAAAGGTCCCACCTGAGGCCTTCTCAGCACCCTGTGCAAAGCTCTGCTGTAGCCTATACCAAAATGAACAGAAATAGCGGACTGACTTACTGCCTCCAAACTTGCTCCAATACAACTTGAGGACAAGACACAGGTCTCAAATGACTGCATTTCCAGTGCCTTGCACAGCGTGTGGCATACAGAAACCTCTTGGAAAATGTTTGCTAAATGAATGATTGAATGAATGAATGAACAAACACAATTATTTGGTCAGTGAACAGATGTTTAAGACAGATTTTGCTCTCAGGATCCTGATAATGCAAGACATTCTGGAACATTTCAGTACAAGTGAAGAAGGCAATATATGATAATTGGGCAAAAATCAGTGATTTAGGCAATATGTAGGAGATGAAAAAAGGAGGACAGGTAAACCAGTTAACTTTAAAAGTCCTTTCCAAACCTGAAAGTCCACTCATAGAGGTAGAATGGGACTCGATTATAAAAAAAGCACTGAATGTCAATGTAAGAAAGTTTAGATATTTTAATTGGAAATGAAAATTGTTCTGGCTTCAAGAGGTGTTTTAAAAGGATGGATATGAGAAGGGCCCTTCAAAGTCTAGATTAAAGGTAAAAAAAAATCAAAACCAAAAAAAACAGAAATCCAAGTGAAAAGATAAAGGCCTGAAGCAATGGGGAGAAAAAGCAGGGTCTAAACAAGTGAATTAAAGATAGAAAGGGAAGGGTCTTCTGACTAAATAATTCTGACAAGAAAAGGGAAAAAAAGAACAAAAGATGACCCGAAGTTTGGACACACGTGGCCCAGAGAACAGTGGTACCAAAGACCTTCCCTCACCCCCAAAAAAGGGCAAACAATTGTCTTATTTCAAAAGAAAAACACTGAGAAGTGCATCCCTGCACTGGAATCACCTGGAGGGTAAACTTACAGGGATGGTTTCTGAGTCTTAACCCCAAACCCATTAAATCAAAATCTAGGGGATTAGGGACTGGGGATCTGTAAATGTGCATTCCACAACAGGCTGCCCAGGTGATGCTTAGGCACACTACAGTTAGAGACCACAGCCCTCACTAGTTGCTATTCAAACACAATTGAGCTGGGTTCAAAGTAATTAAGTATCAATATCAAAAATGACAATGAATTATGTCTTAAAGCCTATTCTATTAACTGATTATAGACAGATTTAATGAAGCCTCAAAAGAACAGACCTACAGCTTTCATGCTTTCTCCCATCCTAAATTGTACCAGTGATTATCATTTAATTTAATCTATTAAACTTGAAATCATATGTAAGTACAACACATGACTTAAACCCTCTCAGTTATCATCATTTCACAATAATCATATGTCTCATGCATTTTTACCACTATAAAAGATCCACATAATGGATAAAGTGTGTATTTTTTAGCCTAGATGGAGATGAATTTAATAAATTGGTATGTTGGAGAACAACCAGAGTTAAAACACTGTGGGCTTCTGTGAGATTAAACTCACACATTCAGGAAACCTACACATTGCTTCCTCATCCAATCACTCCTGGAGTTATTACCAAATTAATTCCTATGCACATATTTCAAAGAGTAATCATTAATTCAAAACTTTGTACTGTGACCCTAGCATAGTGCAACTTGGCAGGAGGTAAAGCACAGAACTAATGGAGCATTCAAAACTTTGTACTGTGACCCTAGCATAGTGCAACTTGGCAGGAGGTAAAGCACAGAACTGAGTGGAAAGCTGAAAAGCAGATCTCCTCAATATTGCTTAAGTTTTGCAGGCTTGAGTAAATTATACAGATATTTTTCTCAGCCTCTCAAAATAAATATAATATTCTATTTGTTACCAGTAGCAATGCTACAATTCATTCATCTCCTTTGGACAAGAGCCACTGGAGTTATAGAAGGAATATAACTTGATAATACACTGCTTTCAGCAGTTAACTTCTGCTTAGTCACAAACATTCGCTTATTTTGAGTTTTAAACAATAGACGGCTTAACGATCATTCATAAAAAGTAGATTTCCTCTTATGAAAGGAAAACTGCATTCACTTGCTATATACACAATACTGGAACTTGAAGACAAAAATTTACAGCTGTTGCCTGATGAATTTATATTTTCTTCTCGCCTTGGGAAAAACGTAGCCAAAAATAATGCTAAAAAGCTATCGTGATGTGTTGCTTAGATATTTAAAGTTCTAAAGTTGCCATCAGTAAGATAACAACAAAGTTACTGAAGATATTGAAACTCCCCAAGTCTATTTCTTCTCCCAGCATGAATTTCTTTCCTTTCCCCATTCTCTCTGCCAGCAAAAAACTCATTCTCCGAAAGCTCAAAACCTGAAATTTTATCGAAATTATTTATGGAAGAGAAAAGGGTCTCTCTCAAACACAATTCACCAAGATCAATAATAATTTACAGCAAAAAATATACACTGCTTTCATAGGGCATTTTCATACTTCACTTCTACTACAAATTATTCTTTTAAAAAATGGTTAACATTCACAACACTTGTATTTCTTGCTAGTATTTTTCCTATGTCCTCATAACAAACTTGTCAAAATAAGCATTATTACCTCTTTTAGAGCCAGGATAAGAATACTAACGACCAAACAGCTGTGAGTAGCAAAATCAGGGTTCCAACCCAGGTCTGTCTCTCTAAACACCTCCTCCCAAAACACTGCACATACTGCCTTTCAAACATTTTACGATACGTAAATGATATGCTCTAAGTCACTATAAGTACACTTTATCTAAGAAACCATCTCTTTTTCATTGGCAATATTCAAGCTCTTTGTGGAAAAGAATCAGCAACAAATACACCAAAAAATCATGATTCCAAAAATTTAACATCCAGACTTACTTGTAACTTTCCACTTGTCGGCAGGAAGAGACAGTAATGAAGGAATCCGTACGGGAACTGTAAGCAAGAGGGCCAGGCAGAAGAGAACCAGGGAGAAATCTCCCAAAAGCATAGCTTTCCTGCTCAAACACCATCAGCATCCCATCCATAGACTGGATACAAATTAAATCTCGACCTAAAGAAGAATTAGAAGAAATTAGATGACCCATTCTTTTTATAAATATATTTTAATTTATCACTATCCACCACAAATATGTCATAGTTAATTTTTTCCCTAAGTGGCAAAATACGTAAATTTTTAAATTACAAACCAACAAAGCTATCATATTATTGATATTAGTATATGTACATTTTCATTCATTCATTCATTCACTCATTCATTTATTTATTTTAAAGATGACCAGTAAGGTGACCTTAACCCCCGACTTGGTAGTATACATACATTTTCTTTCTTTCATTCATTCATTCATTCATTCATTCATTCATTCATTCATTTTAAAGATGACCAGTAAGGTGACTGACCTTAACGCCTGACTTGGTGTTGTCAGCACCAGGCTCTCCCAAGTGAGCCAACGGCCATCCCTATATAGGAATCCGAACCTGTGGCCCCCTAGTGCTGTCAACACCACACTCTCCCAAGTGAGCCACGGGGCACCCCTTCCAATTTTTAAATTATTCAGAAGACATCTATAACTTTAAGAATATTTATTTTTATTAACTATAATAACATCTCTTAGATTAAGATAGTCCCTGAGAACAATCATGACTCTTTGTAAGATACCATCTTATCCAAATCCAGAAATATAACAAAAGCTGTCCTTCGTGAAACTATTTCTCTTCTTCATAGTATGTCCAGTCTCATTCTATCAAATGACGACATCAGTCAAACACAGCAGACCAAATCCACAGACATATCTTATGTACCAGTTTTGTACAAATCATAGTGTGAAGCAGTGCTGGGAGTAAAAAATACTAATATCGAGAAATTCTAATCCCTGATTGCCCTAAACTATAGATTGCTTTTTAGGTATCTTCTACTATCAGTCTATCAGTATTAACTATGAAATTCATAGCTCTTAAAGTATACTGAAAAGATGATAATGATGATCATTTCTAGGATACAGTACAGTATCCCTAATCTGAGAAAGATCTAGTGACTATAACTTTTCATGTTCTGCTAGTGTGACCAGTATATGCTACAATGTATCACATAGTGAAAAACTATGTCAGAGAAAAATTAAGCTACTCATCAAGGGAATAAAGAAAAGGTCAATCCTCTCATCTGTTATCACTAGCCTATACTTATCATATCCTGTACTAACTATCCCATATAGTTATTAGGATATCATTTGGATATCAAGTGACAATCTTAAGTTACTTGGATATTGTCACATGGATATCAGTGACAATCTTATGTATAGTATATTTAAATGTTAAAGAGTAACTTTGTTCAAAAAGAAATCAAATTGCATAGGAATAGATATTCTTATTTTTGTATCTGATTGAAGACAATCACATCAGACAATTTTTAAAAAGAAAATATATTATCAAAGTAGTTTTTAAAAAGAGAAAACGAACTGAGGTTTTGGGGTACTTACCACTGCAACATACTCTAGCCCATCTTGACTGATACAATAGGTTTATCAACATTAAATAGCCTGAGAGATGCTTCAGATGAACATTCTTTCAGCAAATGAATGTTTATTAACCACATATCTGAACCATTCAGGGATCTCTTTAGAGAGATAAGGATTGTTCATACTAATGCTGTTTGAAAAGTATTCTCCTGATGATCAGATTCTTTTATGATGCATGGTAGGTTTTGCAGTTACTGTTTTAAGTTTTGATTTTTAATCTAAGCCTTATCCATTTTGTTATTAAAGGTTTCCAGAAAACAGTGTGAATTCATATGCATGCTATGCATATGCTCGTGCTGTATGTGTGTATTCACAGAGACATGTTCAGACAAAGTACCTCATTTAGTTACTTGGCAATCCCACATGTCTGCACTCAGAGAAGATGAATAAGTATAAAAATGCTTCTAAGTAGGTGAAATAGATGCTGCAAGGTCTTTGTAATGAAAAATCACACAAAGTTTTTAGAGGTAGGATTCCCAGGTCTCACTCAAGGCAACAATTCTTATTTTAAGTATGGTTCTAACAACTGTAGTTTTTATAAACATGTTACTGATATTCCTGGAACTTCGGCCTCCTCATTTGTAAAATGAGTATATGTGTATAAGAGCTCCAAGGTTATCAACTAATTTTCCGCAAAGGCGCCAAGAATACACAATGGGGAAAGAACAGTCTCTTCGATAAATGGTGCTGGGAAAACTGGGTATCAATATGCAAAAAAATGAAATTGGATCCTTATCTTACACCATACACAAAAACCCATTCAAAGTGGATTAAAGACTGAAACTATCAAACTCTTACAAGAAAACATATGGAAAAAGCTCCATGACATTGGTCTTGGCAATGATTTTTTGGATCGGACACCAAAAGCACAGGCAACAAAAGCAAAAATAAACAAGCGGGACTACATCAAACTAAAAACTTTCTGCACAGCAAAGGAAACAACAAAATGAAAAGATAACATATGGAATGGGATAAAATATTTGCAAACCATATATCTTAAAGGGATTAGTCTTCAAAACATATAAGAAATTCATACAAATCAATAGCAAAAAACAAATAACTCAGTTAAACAGTGGGCAAAAGACCTAAGCAGACATTTTTCCAGAGAAGACGTACAAATGACCAACAGGTACACGAAAAGATGCTCAGCATCACTAATCATCAGGGAAATGCAAATCAAAACCACAATGAGACATGACCTCACACATGTTAGAAATGAAGGAGATCCTGTCATTTGCAACAACATGAACCTAGAGAACACTGTGCTAAATGAAATAAGCCAGACAAAGAAAGACAAATACCACATGATCTCACTTATACATGGAATCTAAAAAAGTCAAACTGATAGAAACAGTAAAAGGGTGGTTACCAGGGTTTGGAAGTGGGGAAAATGAGATGTTAGTCAAAGGGTACAAACTTGCAGGTAGAAGATGAATGAGTTCTGGAGACCTAATGTACAGCATAGTAACTGTAGTGAATAATCATGTACCGTGTACTTGAAATTTGTTAAGAGAGTAGATCAAAAGTGTTCTCACTACACACACACACACACACACACACACACGAACCATGTGAGATGATGGATATGTTAATTAACTTGATTGTGATAATCATTTCACAATGTAAACACATATCAAAATATCTTATTGTACACCTTGAATACATATAATTTTTATTTGTCAACTGTACCTCAATAAAGCTGAAAAAAAAAAGAGTCCCAAAGTTAGAGATAAGACATCAAAGTCCCTAACACTGTATAGTACATATAAGGCACAATAAATGATAGCATTACTATTAGAGTTATTACTTGGGAAAGAAAAGTAGCAAATTAGAAAACGGGTGAAGACACTGTCATCTGTGAGCAGTGACAGCTCATGCTCTAACAAAAAGCAAGAAAACAGAACATCTATAAAATATATCACAAATAATTCAGAAAAGAACATCACTTCGGGCTCATTACTGTAGGAGCAATTTTTAGCCCTATATATCTCAAAAAAGGAAATGTCATATTATAATATGTTAGGAGTTATTAAGTACATTTAATATAGTTTGGTATAGCTCAGTCATTTGCAAAAAGAACTTGTGGCAGAGATGCTAACCGCTCTCCCTCTAATGCTTTCTTTAGCATTAGAACCATGAATTCTATACACAACCATCCAAAATAAAACCGATACTTGCAGTTCTCTAGTAGAGACACATCATATGACTACATTCAATAAGACAAAAGCAGAGATTATATGAACAACTTCCAGACATGCCCTTAAAAGGACCAAGTATGCACTTCCCTGCCCTCTTCCCAGCATGATGGTAGGGCTGGAGCAGGTGTCTTGGCCTCAGAAATGGAAACCACATATTGAGGACAACAGAGCCTTCCTCCAGCCTGGAACCACTTTATCTCCAGGTGTTTAATATGACAGAAATAAACATCTTCCTTATTTAAGCCATCATTAAGTTGGGTCTTTGTTAAAGCAACCAAACCTGTATCTTAAATGACACAAAATTTATCTGAACTTAAAGATCCACCCAGCACTGCTGCCTCTTAAAATTTGGTTTCACTCCACTGGATCCTGGTGAAACTAAAAAAACAAACAGATATAAGAGACATATTGGAACAATGAGGGGTATTTGAATATGACTGCATGTTACACAACATTAGGAATTATTGCTAAATTTCTTAAGTGTGGTCATGATATTGTGATAATGTATGAGAATGTTCCTATTGGGAGATATGTGTTAAAGTATTTACGGGTGGAGTGGTGCAAGCAAGGAAGGTCTGTAACTCACTTTCAGATGGTTCATCAAATTAAAAAAAAATGTGTATGTATACCCATATATACAACTGTTGACTCTAGATGGGGGAGATATGAGTGTGCATGTTACTCTTTATATTTTTTCACAATAAATGTAGGAAATCAAAGTGTTTAAATATATACATCTTGTACATAAATGCATATACACTTATGCAATAACCTTGAGGTGGAGGATATTACAGTAACCAAAATATATACTCTTGATATCTGTATTATTAGACTATGAGCTCAGAACAAGTGCACTTGCAAGCAGAAATATCAACAAAATTTGTGTTCATTTCAACATTTGGTATCACTGAAACACAAATCTTCAGTCTCCCAAAGACCTTAAGAAGTGGTCCTCAAAATGCAGCTCCCAGACCAGCAGCATCAGCATTGTCTAAGAACGTCTTAGAAACACAAATTCTAGGATTCCAGTCTAGACCTACTGAATCAGAAACTCTGGAGGTATGGCCCAGCGATGCTAGGATTTAACAAGCCATAGACTATTCTGATGCATGCTAAAGTTTCAGAATCACTGCCTTAGCATGATAAGACAGGCTTGAAGAAAAATTGAACCCCAGAGATAACCTGGCCCCTCAGCATGGTAGAAGAGCTCTTATTTCCTAAAAGTCGAGAGTACATAATACACTATAAAGTCCAGGTGAGCTGCCTCCGGAGCTAGATAACCCTACCAACGATTAGCTTTGAGCCTGGGCTCAAGTTTCCTCATATGTAAGATGGCGTAC